GGCGGCCGCCGCGCGCTGCCGGGTAATGGTTAACGCTGGACCCACCTGCCCGCCCGCCTGAAACACGAGCCGCGCTCGCCGCCCGCGAGAGCGCCGTTTTATTATTATTTCCATGAGCTGGACTTTGACATTTCGAGGTTCAGGCTGATCGCCTTGCAAAACCTGCTCGGTGCTTTTTAACTAAGCGGCTGCTCTCTGCCTCTCTCCGCAGGATAATATAAATGTTTTTTTGAAAGCTTGCGAGAATATCGGACTGAAGGAAGCTCAGCTTTTTCATCCAGGGGATCTTCAGGACTTGTCCAATCGAGTTACAGTCAAGTAAGTCTTGTGGTTTTGTTTTTTTCTCTCCCCTTCTCTCCCTAAGTTGGTCATAAAGCTTGTTGAAAATGTATTTCACAGTTCATCTTTTGAAAGTGTTTGCTTATGGAAAAATCTTGTCTTAGTCTGGTAAGAGCTGTTTTGAATGCTGCGGTGAAGATTTTGCACAAACTTAATTTGGAAAGTGAAATGAGTAATCTGGTACTTGTACCTCACGCACAGGCAAATTAATTCTTAATGAATATTTACAGCATTTAATAATGAAACAGAAGCTGTTCAGGCTTCTTTGAAAAGATGAATATTAGTTGTTAGTCTGTGAAAAGCATGACCGTGCTTTATGCTTTGAGGTTATTGATGTAAAATGGTCCTGTTGACACATACGTGGGTAGCTCCGAGGCTTGGACTTGGTGGCCCTGCGGGACTCTCCTCTCACCTCTCCATGTACTCACAGATGTTCCTCACAGAAAGTCGCATCTCCCACCAAGGGGTGTCCGAGCACAAACCAAGCACTGCATGGCACAAGGAGTAACGGTCACCTTTACAAAGGGCTGTTTTCCTCTGGAATCAAAGTGGTTCAGTTCTGGTATGCAGTTAGTGGGCTGTCAAGTATCTGGACTGTTGAGTGTCCCAATATGAGCTTGTTGCTAGTTTCTGAGAGATTGAGAGGGAGTTTTAAGTAGATGCTTCATGAGTAGATGCTAAGCATTGAGGGAAAAATATCTCCTTGAGGTTCTTTAAAACAATGTTAGGTTAATGGGTCCGTAGGACTTTTCTTATTCAGCTTCCAAACAAGAAAGGCTCAGTGGCTTGTGCAGTAAATCTACTGGGTTAAATGTTAAGAAATAATTCCTGTCCTAAATTACCAGCTTAAAAAAAAAAAGGCACAGGCAGTAATCCTTCTGTAAATACATGAAAAAAACATTGTGAAATGGCATGTAACTAGCTCATTAATTAGAAAGAAAGCTCCTGTAGGTGGATTGGATGGTAGTGTGCTGACATATCCTCTGCTTGGTTTCAGACCAGAAGTTAATACCTATTGAGCTGTAACACTTCAGATGGCAACACATTTTCCAATGTTTGACTCATACCTGAAACATAATTTCTTGCAAATGTGGTGTTTAGGATTTGGCACCCTTTCAGAAGGCTGCTGTTCCTTATGCTGCTTTGTCCAGAATGCTGCAAGCCAGAGCAGTGGTAACCCTATCATGCTTTAGTTATTCACAAAAGCTGTATTAAAGCCCTTTTTACTAGGGATTTGCTCGGAAGATATAGCAGAGAATGGTTGGAGACTGTCAGGAGCTGGGGATCAACAGGTTAAATAATGGCAAAACGAAACCCAGGGAGGTCGGGTAGGTAGAGTTAGCAAACTGTTGTGCAAGGTGTTGGCCAGCTTGTCCCCACGCAGAGCCAGGGAGGGCAGCTCTGAAATGAACCTGGTGCATCTCTGACTGGATTTCTTCTTTTGTGGAGCCTTGCAGCTCCACAAGTCCCCTTCTTGGCTCCAGGAGCCAAGAAAAAGACTGGAATTCGGATTTGTTGGAAGGCGGTTGGAGTATTATGTTATATCCACTGGGTAATAGATTAAATGGATTAATCTGTGTCCTCCCCAGCACCCCTACCATCACCAAAAAAAAAGTTAACTCTTGATCACTTCTCAGTGTACAGACTCTCTGGGCTAGAGTGGAGAGAGCTGCCAGTGCTGTAGCTGTGCTCTTGTTTCAGTATAAGTTAATTTTTCCACATGTTATGTATCATATAACAGTTCTCCAGCATGTTTAAATGCTTGCAGAGTAATTTGAAATGTCTGAATCTGACCACAGGGTAAAGCAGTAGCATGTTGTGACATGTTCAGGAGTTGGGGAAGGGACAGAGGAGGGGATGTCCATTCCTTCATCTTCTGGACCAAAAGGTGTGCCAAGAGAGCCTCCTCTGAACAGGGATTGTGTGTCAGAAGTGTGGAGTGGCTCAGAGCCTCTCAGAGCAAGCGGAGGGTCAAGAAAGAAATGCAGTCTAGCTAGAAACTTTAACTTGTTCCTGGTAGGTTTTTTATTTTTTTCTTCAAAGTTCATAGGATGCTAGGCATCAGAGCACCAGTGTCTTGTCTTGCTTATGTATTACCCTATGATAAGCTTGGTGTCAGCACTAAGGGTAAATTTCTAGCTGTGAAGAGGGAAAAATCTTTATACCTTCATTTCTACAAAGATAACTTTTTAAAAAATAAAATATTTGGGGGGTCTTGGATTTCTGGCATTGGTAAACCACTGTATTTTGCGTCTACCACCTGAGGCCAGTTTGCCCCCACACTCAGTGAGCTGCAATAGCTCTGCCCCTGCGCTCAGCTTGTCCAGAGCTGTTGAACCCCTGGCGCCTCCGGCCCTCTGAAACACCCTGCAGCGAGAAGGGACCTTCTTGTGCAGTGCAGAAGTGTGGTGGTTCCTCTCTGTGTCACTGCAGCCCTTCTGGGCTACCTTGTGTATGCCCGTTGCTCTGCCATCACTGATGGGGCCTTATCTCTGTCACCAGCAGCCTCTGGCGATGGTGCCTGGCCTGTAAGGCTTTCTAAAGAATGTTTTATTTATTTTTAAGAGCTTTTACTCACAAGTAATGCAACGTGCTCATGGTAGCAGAGCTAAGGATAAGACCCTCTGCTATGCAAATCTTACAAGAAGCTTTACCAAGAAATAACAGCTATCATTTTATCTTCCTTTTTGATAATGAGGTTGCAACTTTTTATTTTGTGTTTTATTACAAATGAGATTATGTGCAGCTATAATGCGAAATCCCTTTCTCTAATTGCTGCTTATATCTGGCCAGGAAAGGTAGGAGACCTCTTAAATTTCCAGTGTGTTGGTCTGTCTCTGTTAAAAGGGATTACATGATTATCCTTTGCCAAAGAAAAAACTCCTTTAAAAGGTTGTTGTTTAGGAGTGTTTTTGAGGAGGGTGGGTTGGAAGTGCTTTTTGCTGTTCAGAGGACTGCAAACCTTAGGCTTTGCCACATCACCCATGAGGTTGGTAGTCATGTGGAGTGGAAAAAGATCCTGGCATGGATGAATTGCCTTCTGCCAGCAGAAGTGAGTGTGTAGATCAATGTCTGAAACTTACAGGTCAGTCCTTCTGCAAATCTGCAGATGCTACTGCTCCCTGATCTGGTGTTTCCTGTGTCCTAATAAAAAGTGTGCATGTGGAATTACTCCTCATGGACCAGGTCTGGCAGTTAGGAGCCTATTTCCTTGTTTTGCAGCTAGTTGTTTCTATGAATCCTTGTGTCCATCTCTAGTCCTTTCAGTAGATGTGATTTAGTCCCTTTTCTTCAGGGTTTTTATTATTTTTAATCAGAGGGGATATTTCAAAATCCATCAAATCCTCTTTTTTATGGTAATTGCAGGTTGTCGTAACACTTCATGTAATTCTTTTCTAGCTATATCTAAGTAAGGCTGTAACATGAATTGAATGGCTTTGATTTGTCAGTGCAGTTGCTATTTAAAAATGCAGGGCACTTCCTTACCCTGCTCCTTGGAAGCGACGCACCCAGCCTTTCCCAACTGTGGAAGGGCTTCCTAGGGAAATAGTGCAAGAGAGAGTTTGTACAGACACATACCAAGCTTTAGGTCTGATTGAATTCATTATCCCCATTAGCAGGTTTAAAGGAGGCTAATTGAGTGATGGGGCTGGTGGAATAACAAGAGTTGTCTTTTAAGCACACTAATTCTTCCATCGGGATAAATCCTGCTGTTCTAGGATGATGTATTCACTTCAAGAACTTCATTATGTACTAATACATCCTAACAAGACAGGAAAACATTAAAAAGGCACTCAGCCAACAACTTGTGAAAGAGTTTGCTGTGTTAATTGTAAATGGGCAACATTTTAAAACACTGTCACCTGCCTCTGAACCCAGATGTTAACTTTATTTTATTGTTTTCATTCTTCAGTGAAATATGAAATTGAAGTATTTAACTTCTGTAAAAATATTACTATAAGGTTTCACTTAGTGTAGGTCTTGACTGAAATTCAAAAACTCATCTCCTAAGCTGGAAGGTCTATTTCTACCTTTTGGCACTCAATATTTGGATAAGGCCTTCAGCTTTTTGGTACTCCTTCCTTTTTGGCTTGCTTGTTATTAATCCTGCACACTAAGCGAAGTTGAGTATAAAGCAATCAGAAAGGGCTGCCTGAAAAGTCTTGGTGAAGGGGGATTAAGTGCACAAGTGGCCTGGAGTAACAGAGCTCTGATTCTGTTCTTGGCACTTCTAACTTTTGGAGAGCTTTTTCTATTCATTTAATGTTCCTTAAGCACAATTATTTTGTTTGAAATTGGTTTTGCTTTAGGAAATTATACAAATTTGGATGTAGCATAAAGCTCAGAGCTTTAAAATTAGAGCTACCCAGACACAGGTAACACCATAACCTGTCATTGATCCTTGTGCTTGTGCGTTTCGGCAGCTTAATTTGAGACCTACTCTTCACTTCAGAAGTAGTATTTTCTGAATTTAAAATGCCATGAAAAAGTTGTTCAAAGTTCAATAAGTAAAAGTAAAGCCCAAGATCAAATAGCTCCAAAGTGATGTGGCTGTAACGCTTGCTCTGCTAGCCTTCATCCATTCAGAGCAGGGCATGTTTTGTGGGATTTTCTTATGATGAAACTTGGAAAAAGTATGATTGATACCAACATAAAGTAGTTTTAACATGTGCAGAATCACTGCCACCCACACTGCAACTGTTGTCGCTTCCTGAGCAGCCCTCTCCATATAGCAAAGGATAAAAGGAAGCTTTATAATGTTCTTGAGTTTAGCCAAACACAAAACCTCCTTTAATACCTACTATCTTTATGCCCTGAATAAGGTTACAGCCATGCCAATTGCCTCACTTGTCTTTTTGGGCTATGGCTGTTCCATATGCAACTATAACTGAGCGCCTAAAATACCAGTGCAGGAGGAGGAGGAGAAGAGGTGGGCTGAAGGCAGATGTAGCATCTTCCACTTCTGTGTCCAAGCCATT